AAAAGAATTTTTTTTTTTTTTTTTTTTTTTTTTTTTTTTTTTTGATGTAATAATAAATTTTCATTTTCTTTATTAAAACAATATGATTTTATTTTATAATTAACAATAAAATGAGGGATTATTTAGTTAAATATAACAAATATTTAAAGTATGATATCTCTTTAATTATAGAAAATGAGGATGAAAAAAACAAAAATTTAAAAGATGAAAAGAATATGAAAGATAAAAATATTGTAAGAGTTATTGAAGAAATAAGAAAGAATTTAAAATCTAACATACTATATAAAAATGACAATAAAAATGTTTTTTTCAATGATCCTATTTATCAATTTTTCCCTAGTAAATGTACAAAAGAAAAAAATGTAGAAAGTATTTCTTATGTTTCTAGAGTTGCAAATGAAGAGGATACATTAATATGTCTTAGAAAAATTTATGAAGTTATTGCTAATATGTATGCAGAAAATTTTGTCATAAAAAAAGAATTTTTAGATGATTTACTGAATATTTTCATGGAACTATGCAGACAGGTATTTAAGACTTTCAAAAAAACATTATTAAAATGGAATTATAATTTTAATATATATATATATACATATATAATATAAATATAGGTTTCAGTTATGTGCTTTCAAAGAGGATTTCTTTTAAAAAAGTTATTTAACTATAATGTTATGTTACTAAATCAATATCATAAATTAGTCAAGTATAAAATATTTCAAAATATAAATGTTTTTCCAAAATTATTTTAAAAAAAAATTAATATAAAAAAAGTGATATGGATATACATGATAAAAATCATTAGTATGCATTAAGAAAACTTTCTTCTATTTTTATATCTTATATAATTTTATTTTTTTTTCCTTTATTTCTTTTTAGATCATCTCTAGTATTTAATATAAAGAAGCAAATAAAGCAGAATGAAATATTAAGCAATTTAAACAATGAAATAGAAATAAAAAGAAATGCAATTAATTCATTAAAAATTAAAATAATAAATACGGAAGAAATGATTGAAAATGAAACAATAAATGCAGAAAAGGAACTATCTGAAGTATTGATCTTCAGAAAAAAAATTTATCATAAAAATATTTTATTTTATATTTTTATTTTTATAATTTATAGGTAAATATGATATATCAAAATAAAATAGATAAGTTGAAAAAAAATAATCAAAGAAATAAGGATGAATTTACAAGAATACTACAGTTATAAAAAAAAAAAAAAAAAATAAATAAATAATTATAAAATATTTTTCTTTTATTTTTAATTTTTTGATGTATAAATAAAATTTACATTTACATTTTAAAGATTAACAATATTATAAAAAATAAAATGTTTTTTAAATTTTAAAAATAAGTACATACAAAAAAAAAAAAAAAAAAAAAAAAAAAAAAAAAAAAAAAAGATTAAATATTTTACGAAACACAAAAAATAACAAAAATATTTACGGTCTACAATAAAAATATTTACAATAATGTTTCTATGAAAAGTACAACTAAAATAATTAAGAGACTGTTACTTGCAGTTAAGAAAAATGAACTTCCTTTATCAGTACCTTTAATATCTTGTTCTGTTATATATTCTTCCCCAGATTCTACAGTTGTTTCTTCCACAATATTTTCATTATTTTCATTATTGTTATCTTCTTTTTTAATTATCTTAATTGTATCTTCTATGTTTTCATCATCTTCTCCTTTAATTGTAACATCATCATCGATTTCTTCATCTTTTTCATTTTTCTCATTATCTTGTTCTTCATGTTTATTGCCTACTATTTCATTTATATATTTAAGTAAATTATCATTCATGCCTTCATCTTGTTCGACATCTAACAAGTTTTTCTCATCTAAGCTTTCATCAATAATTTCATCTTCAATTATATCTTCATTTTCCTCGCTTGATAACGAGCTTAATTCATTTAAGACATCTTCATCAAATAATTCTTTTTCTTCACCTAATAATTTTTCTTCTTCATTTCCCATTAATGTTTTCAGTTCATCAGGTTCATTTTCTTCTTCTAATGTTTCTTCTTCATCTTCTTTTACATCTTCATCTGTTTCATCATCTTTTTCTTCTTCCTTAATTTCTTTCATATTTTCTTCTAAAATTATTTCTTCATTATTATCTTTTGCTTCAATTTTTTCTCCGTTATCTCCTTCTTCAATTATTTCTTCCTTATCTTCTTTTACTTCTTCAACCATTTCTTCTTTATCTCCTTTTATATCTTCATTTGTTTCTTCTTTATCTTCTTTTATATCTTCAATTGTTTCTTCTTTATCTTCATTTATATCTTCAATTGTTTCGTCTTTTTCTTCTTTATCTTCTTCGTCCATTTCTTCTTCTTCTTTATCTTCTTCGTCTGCTTCCTCTTCATCTTCTTCGTCTGCTTCCTCTTCATCTTCTTCGTCTACTTCATCTTTATCTTCTTCGTCTACTTCATCTTTATCTTCTTCGTCTACTTCATCTTTATCTTCTTCATCTGCTTCGTCTTTTTCTTCTTTATCTTCTTCACCAGTTTCGTCTTTTTCTTCTTTATCTTCTTCATCTGTTTCGTCTTTTTCTTCTTTATCTTCTTCATCTGTTTCGTCTTTTTCTTCTTTATCTTCTTTATCTGTTTCGTCTTTTTCTTCTTTATCTTCTTCATCTGTTTCGTCTTTTTCTTTATCTTCTTCGTCTGTTTCGTCTTTTTCTTTATCTTCGTCTGTTTCGTCTTTTTCTTTATCTTCTTCGTCTGTTTCTTCTTTTTCTTTATCTTCTTCGTCTGTTTCTTCTTTTTCTTTATCTTCTTCGTCTATTTCTTCTTTTTCTTCTTTATCTTCTTCATTCATAGATTTATCTGTTTTATCTATAAAATCAAATGTAGTTGATTGGCTTCCAACAAAATCATTTGATCTATTTAAGTCATAATATTTCTTAAGTATATTATCTTTTTCAACAAACAACTCTTGTAAATTAATACTTCGCGCCAAATCATATAAAATATTATATCTTTCAATTTCTTTATCAATTTCTATTTCTTTTTCCTTCACTTGTCTGAAACCTAGAAACAATAATACAATAAGTTTATTTAGTCTTCTTCTATTACTCCAACTCTTTTTCTTATCTCCAACAGCATTGAGATAACGAACAACATTTAGAAGTACACTGTCACTATTTACTTTTGATAAATAATAGATCTCTTTCATGAAATTTTTGAAATTTTTTAGATTCAATGGATTTTTATAGCAGTATGCTTTAATGCACATTGCCTGAGTATTGAAAACTTCATTTTTTTCTAAATACAAAGCTCTTAAATTTTGTAATATTCTTTTTCTTAATTCACATATTTTATTTTTTTTTTCTTTTACATCTAATTCTTCTATATCATTAAATTCCCTTAATTCTTCTTCATCTAATTTTCCTTTTTCATTAATTTTTTCTAAGCTCATTGGGACTGATTCAGGATAATACTTAAAGAAAATATTAGATGAAATCATACCATTATGATGAGGAAAATTATCATAATTTATTATCTCATCTACATCTTCATCAAATAAGTTAAATAAATACTGCTTCGATTCATTAAATATAGAAATATACTTTTTCCTATGTTCTCCAATTATTTTTTCTACTTTTCCTATTTTACCCAAATATTCCTTTAAATTTTTTAAAATAGTTACTTTAACATTATCTATTTTTTCTTTATCTATATCATTTACTCCAAGAGTTTCAATAACGAAATCATAATAAAATGAATAATCTGAATTTCTCTTTAGTTCATTATATCTATCTTCCAAAAGATCCAGTACTTCAAAAGGTTCATGTTTCATATCAATACTATTGGAAATACGATCTGCTAATTTTTTGAAAAGTTCTTCCTTTTTTGAAAATGCCTTCTCTAATTTAATTGATATATCTTTTTTTTTATTCAATAAATTTTTTTTAATATTTACATTTTCCTTCATTGCTTCTTTATTTTGTAAATATAACTCATATTGTTTTTTAATTTGTTTTTCATTTTCATTTATCTCTTTACTATCATTTTTATTTCCTTCATCATTTTCACCTATTATTACTTTATCTAGATATTCGTGTTCATTATCTATTGGATCAATTAGATCATTTGAAGAATCATCATCATCCCCTTTATCATATTCTTCTTCTTCATATTCATCTATAACATTTTTTCTGCAAATTATATTCAATGATACATAAGAGTTATTAATATAACATGGATTATCATCACCTAATAGAGATTTTGGTAATTCTATTGGATTTATAAGACAATCTTTATTGTCATCACACTCTTTTCTTATATGGCTTGAAATATCTCTAAGTTTTATTTCACAAAAAGGAGAGTGTAGAGTAGCACTATTAACATTTATGATACCACTTTGGCATACAACTGGATCATTATTTTTATTTTTTATAAAAAAAAAATATTGAGTATTAAGTTCCTCCAATAAAAATGAATTACTTAATAAGCATGTTGTTGATGTTTTTATTTCGTTTATATCTGATTCTACACATTCACTAACTTCAATACTATTTTTATTTCTAAATGCGTGTGTGTTTTTTCTCATATAATCAAAATAATACAGACATTTGTTACCCGAACATTTTTTTTCTACTTCATCTAAACAATTTTTATATATAATATGGTTTTGATCATTCATACATAATACCTCACAATGCAATATGTACAATTGCCCAATAGAACATCTGAAAAAAAAAAAAAAAAATATTAAAATATATGTGTAAAAGAAAAAAAAAAAAAAAAAAGTTCATTATCAATTATATGTATATATATTTTTTTTTTTTCTCTTTTCAGAATTATTTAAAACATATAATTTTCATTTATTAATGTAAATTCTTTTTATTTTGTCCTTTTTTTCTATACTTCAAAGAATTTTCTTCTCCGAATTTAATTATATCATTATGTACAAGGCAATTTGTTGGTAGAAAAATAGCTAATAATAAAAAACATAAACTAAAAAAAAAACTTTTCATTTTATAATTAAAACCTAATACAAAAGCATATAAAAAATTAAAGTAAATCAGCTATAATAGTTGCATATAATAAAAAATAAAAAAAAATTAAAAGGTCCTAAAAAAAAATAATAAAAATAGAAAATTTTAAAAACTATTAAAAAAAATAAATATAAAACTTAATATATCTGTACATATAAACTAGTTTAAAAAAAAGCTATAGCTTTTCTTTCACTTTTTCTTCTGTTATTTTTTTTTTTTTTTTCCTTTTATTTTAATCTATCAAATAAGAATAAAAGATAACTTTATTAAATATAAATTAAAAATCATAAATTATATTCAATAATTTAAATTTATATTAATACATCAATAAGGAACAAATTTTCGTTTAATTCATACAATCTTGTACTACTGATCTAATAAATTTCTATATTTATATATAATATTTAAAGCATATATTTATTAAAATTCGTGTAGTTTTTACTTAATTTTAATAATATATATATGGCAACATCATTAAAGCAAAAATTTATTCTAGATTAATTTTATCTTATAAGGATATAAAAACACATGCATTCATGCATGCATAAGAAAAGAAAAAAAAAATATATAGATGGAATTTTTTTATTTTTTTAAATATTTGTTGATTTTAATGAAAAATGCTATAAAATTAGTGATACACTATATATTTTTAATTGTAATTTTTTTTATATTAAACTAATATTTATGTTAAAATTTTATTTTTTATAATGGAATTAGTATGCTTTTTTATATATGCCAAATCATTTTACTTCATAATTTCAATAATTTTTAACATTATGAGCATAATTTCAATATATATGTTATTTAGTCTTTTATATATATTATTATATTAATTTTTAGTAAAACACATGCACGAATTTTTAATAGATTTTATATTTTATTATTAAAAAAATTTTTTATAGAAGTTAAAAATATGAGAAAAGCTTTTTCATTGGTATTGCAGCATAATTATTAAAAAAGATGCATGCAACAAAATTTTACTGTTTTTCAAATTATTGAAAAAAAAGCTTAGCATCTATAATTCTTATTAGATAATAAACAAAATAATAAAAAAATCTAAATGCTTATAAACCAGGTAAATGTTTTTTTTAGTTATAAATTAAGTATTAATAATTATTAAAAAAAAAAAAAAGAATTCAAATTTTATTTAAATAGAACAATTATATGAATTATTTAAAAAATTTACGATATCTTTTTTGATGATTTTAATTTTTCTAACATTATTGCCATTTATATAATTATATAAAAGAAAATTTCATATAAAAACATTAGGATAAAAATGAAAATTTTTAAAATTGTTAAAAAAAAAGTTTATATTTAAATTTTTTTTAATTTATAAATTTAATGGAAATTTTTATATTCTAAATGGAACAAGAGGATTAAAATTAATTGTATAAATATAAATTTTTTCATCGTCTTTTAAGTAAATTACTTATAAAATGTAAAAAATATATAATTGAATACATAGATTCGACAAAAAAAAAAAAAAAAAAAATGTATGTAAAATATATAGAAAAAATGAAATGTTAGTAATAAACATCATGAGGATACTTAATAGAATATTATTTTATAAGTTAAAATTGTTTTCGAAAAGCAACAATAATACTTTTGTAAAACATATTAAATTGAATTAGTTAATATTTTTTTTAGTATTTTGTAATAAAAAAAAAAAAAAAATTTATATATAAATATATAGAAATTCAAAACATTTCATAAATAAAAATTTATTCAACAAAATTGAGATTAATTCCAAGTGTTTACAAAATATTTTTAAATTTATAAAAATCCTTATTACAATCAAATAACATATATTGAATACTTCATTTTTCTTTTGAATATTTGAAAAAAAATTAAGAATATATTTTTTTTAAATTTAGATAAATCATATTTTAATTAATAATGATAATATAAATATGATAATATTTTTTTATTAAAATTTTAAAGTCTGTTATATATATAAAAATGAAAAAAATAAAATAATTAGTATTTTCATTATCATTTAAAATAGTAGAAGATACTTCATTTTTTCGTAAGTTTTTTTTTCAAATTTTCCATATAATTCTTTTTGGTGTAAAAGTCGAACAGTATATAAATAACATGTATATTATGTGAAAAAAGCAAAAAAATAATTCTAAAAATGAAATTAAATATTTATTTTAATGTAATATTTGAATTTTTTGTTGTATCTAAAAAAAATATGTTTAGGTTACAAAAAAATTCTCCAATAATGAAAATATAAGATGGTTTTTTTCATTTTATCTATTTTCCTTTTTTTTTTTTTATTTATATTTCTATTTTTTTTTTTAAATAGAAAATAAATAAGAAAAAAAAAAATAAATAAATAAGTACTCTAAAGAAATAACAGGAAACTAACATTATTATAAAAAATTGATTCATGAATATCTATATAACGTAAAACATTTTAATTTTAAAGATAAATGAAAAAAAGAAACTTAAAATTCAAAGAGGAAAATTTACCAATGCCAATAGAAAAAAAAAAAAAAAAAATTTTTAATTTAAAGTAGATTAAAAGTAATATAAGGAAATTTCTAAATAGAAGTTTTAAAGTTACATAGTGTTTTTAACAATTAAAAAAATTTTATTCTACCTTTTATAAAGAGAAAGAAAAAAAAAAAAAAAAAAAATGAATTATTTTAATAATTCAGAAGGAATAAATAATAACATAAAAACATATGACAATATCTCAAATAATTCAAATAGTAAATTTATAATGAAGGATAACAATAATATGAAGAAGGGTAATAATATTAATAGTTTAAAAAATTTTTTAAATGGTAATAGAAGATATATATATGAATATACAAATAATTTTGATAACAATAATACATGTTCAATGGATATTGGTGGAACATTAATAAAAATAGTTTATGCAAGTGATAGCTATGTTTATGATGAAAATGAATATACTTGCAATAAGCATTTAGAAATAAAAATTGGAATAAATAAATATATATATTTGAAATTTTTCAAGATAAATGAATTAGAAGAAGCATTGACCTTTCTAATAAAAAATAACTTAACTAAAAATAAAATAATTTTAACAGGAGGGGGATCCCACAAATATTTCTATACTATAATAGAAAAGTTAATACTTCATAGAATAATTAAGGAAGTAACATTTTCTAATAAGTTATATATATCAAAACAGCATTATTGTGAAAAATCCTCTATATTACATATAGAAGTTTGTTTAAATAATAGTGGTAATGAAGAAAATATATTTAATGAAAAATGTTTTTCTGGAATTAATTGTGAAACAGTTAAAATTTATTTATCTAAATCAAATAAAAATGAAATATCTACGGTCGAATCTGAAAAATGTACACAAAAAAAAAACATTGAACATAATTACTTGAATGATAATCAAAAGAATTTTAAAAATAATTTAGAAAATGATATGAATATTAAGAAGAATTTTGATAATATAGGTAATGAAAATAATGTAAAAAATTATAATAATTATAATTATAAGGAGAAAAAAAAAGAAAATGATAATATCAGTGATAGTAGTAATGAACAAATAATTTTCAATGGAGAACTAATTTTAGAATGCTCTAGGAGAGATGAAATGAAAAGTATTATTAATGGAATCCATGTCTTATATAATGTAAAAAATTCAATAGTAAGATATGATTTTTTATTTAAAACTGAAGTTCCTGTGAAAATTAAGCTCCCTTTTTATCCATTTTTAATTGCAAATATTGGATCAGGAGTATCCATTTTAAAATCAGAGGGTTTTGGGAATTTTAAAAGAATAGGAGGAACAGCAATTGGAGGAGGAACTTTTATGGGATTGGCGCAAATGATATTAGGAGAAATTACTTTTGAGGAGTTAATAATGTTAGCTGAAAAAGGAACATCCAAATTAGATTTAAAAGTTAAGAATTTAAGGGGAGACACATCTGGAAGTAGTTGTTTAAGTGATCAAGCGTTGGCAAGTAGCTTTGGATTCATTTATAATATTTACAAGAATAGAAAAAATTATAAAAACAAAGAATTTAATCAAGATATAGCTAAAAGCTTAATTTTAATGGTTTCATATAATATTGGATACTTAATATATTTATTAGCCAAAATTCATAATGTGAAAAGGTGAAGTTTTTAAAAAAAAATTAACAAAAAAAATAAATATATATATATATTTATATATAAAGAAACTCAAAAAATTACTAAAGATGTAATTTTTTTCTTTATGTAGAATATTTTTCTCAGGTAAATATATAAGTAATTGTGAATATATTATGGAATCATTAACATATGGTGTATATTATTACTATTTTCATTATCATTCCAGAAGAAATAATTCAGATAATTCAGTAAATAACAAAATTAGACAAAATATTTTTAAGAATACATATGAGAAGAAGGAGGATCAAATGAAAAATTTACATTATTCGAATAAGCATCTAAATACTTGTCTTTCTTGTGATTTTGTAATAAAAAAAAAAAAATTATTTGAATATTTTTTTTATTTTCATTATATTATTTTCTGTTTATTTAAATATATACATATATACATAAAAAGATTATTGATAAATATTTACAAATATATTAAAATGCACTTGCACACAGAAATACATTGATAAACAAAAAATTACATTATTTATTTACTTTTCTGCATTGTACATATATTTTATAATATATTTCCGTTCATTTTCAATATATTGATTAAAATAATTCTGAATATTAAGATAAAAATCTTTATTTAAAGTATTAAAAATTTTCTCTATTCTATTTTTCACTTTAAGAATTTTCTGTTATTACCGTGTGTAAATTATCTTATTTTATCCTTATTTCTTTTTTTTTTTTTTTTTTACTTTATTTTATTTTTATTATTTATTTCATATTATTATTTTTTATCTTTTATTTTATTTTTCTTTTTTGAGTTATTGTAAATAAAAAATAGTTAAATTTTAACATATAATAATATTTTTTTTTTTTAAGGATGGTACTAATAAAGATGTGAATGATGATTGCTTGCCTGAGGTTTTATTTCTTAAGCATGATGGTTATTTAGGCGCCATTGGATGTTTTTTTTCATAATTCTTATTTTTTCTATAGAATATTTACATATATACATATATTTTAAAGATTTTTAATATATTCAGCTATTTTATTAACTATTTTTTTTCATTTCATTTTTTTTAAATTAGTAAATACTTATTTTTAATACAAAAAGAAATTTTACTAATTTTAAATTATGAAGTTAAAAAAATAAATTTTTTTTTTTTTTTTTTTGCTTTTAATCTTTTATAAATATCAAATAAAAAAAAAATAATTTTTTTTATTTACGTATTAAAATGTGCAAAATTTTTCATGTTAATTTTTTTTTTTTTTTTTCACAAATATAATTTAATTTTAATCATTTATATAATAGTTTCATATTACACATTTTGCACATGTTAATTTCTTTTTTTTCTTTTTTAATTGAATTATAAAATTTTAACAGAAATAATTTATTTTAACTAATTTATAAATATATATTCTTTATTATTTATATTATTAAATTATTCATTATCATATTTAAACTAACAAAAATGAAGAATAAAAAGATAATTTAAAGGTAGGAAAAAATATTAGGAAAGGTAGAAGAAATTTAGATTATTTATTTCATCTTTTAACATAAATTAAAAAAATATATATGCATATAAAGGTTTACTAAAGTATATATTCTTATTAAAACATACTTTTATATTGCTTAATATAATAATATAAATGAAATATTTAAAAAATTAGAAAGGTTAACTTATTCTACATAAATGAATTTATGAAAACCAAGAAAAACAAATATTATTATTTAAAAAAAGTAACGTAAATATGATAAACTTCACTGTAATATTTTTATGCATTTATCATTTAATTTTATCATTATTAGGATCTTTATTTTTTGAAAATTACTTATTTAAGGATTTTGAAAATAGCTTTAGCTTAGTAAAAATAATTTTTTGCTTTTCATTTGTTCTATGTCTATCATTACTTTCTATGATTTTATTTGAGATATTAGGGTTCATAACTACTACAATAAAGCTTTTTATATGGTATATTGATATAACTCTTTTAATTTTATTTATTTACCTAATTATTCCTGTTAGCCTAATATATACATATGTTACGTATGAAGATGAAAAGATTTCAAAGAGCTTATTTAAATTTAAATATTTTTATACTACTTTAACCAAAATGAAGCATAAAAAAATAAATGAACTTGAAGAAGATAAAACAAATTTTATGAAAAGGTTAGTTTATATTAGTGAAGACTTGATTTCAAAAATGAAAAATTATAATAAGAAAATAAAAAAAAGAAATAAGCAAAAAATTCTTAAATTTTTTATTGGGTGCCTTTTTTTTTTACCTATAATATGGTTTACCTTTTATAAAATATCAATGATTACATTAAAAAACAACAGTGATGTTTATGATAAAGCAGATATGTATAATATAGGTACTATTTTACAAGACAAATTTAATAAAATAAATAAAGAGTTTAACGAAGAATATGATATAAATAATGACAAAACAAATAATTCGCCATTTATTAAAATAATGAAAAATTTACTTATATATATATCTGTTACAGGTATGACTATAGTTAGTGCACTTTCAGCTTTTACTAGTCTATATTCTCCATACACTAACATAAGTAATTTTTTTTTTTTTGTTACAATTAAAAAAGTTAAAATAATCGAAAAAAAAATTAAATTTATAACAGATGAATTATCATCAAAGAAAAAAATGTTATTATTATACGAAAATTCTCATTTAATTAATAACTACTTTAAAAATATGAATGAAGCTACTTTTAATAATAAAGGATCTTATAGGGATAGAAATAATAATTACAAAAGAGATATAGAACTTGAAGATCTAATTACATGTGAATATAGCATTACACATAAAGATAAATATAAAATGGATGTACAAAATAATTTAAATTTTAATAAAAATATTAATATGTATAATACTCATAATACTAATACTATGAATAATAATACTATACACTACTGTTTAGACAATATCTCATATAATATTAATCATTTTAATAGTTTAGAAAATAATTTAAAGTGTAATAAATATGAATGTGAATCATTAAATAGTAATAATAATAATTTAAATAATCAATTTATTCAAAGTAAAAATAATTTTGAATATGATGAAGAAAAAAATAGAAAAGAATCTGAATATGCATGTTTTAAAAAATTTAAAAAATGCAATTTATATCTAGATAGTCACAAATCTATTTATAAAGATATATTTGAAACATTTATGAAGAAAGGAAAGAATTTTGATAGTATATTTAATATAAATGAAGAAATGTATAATATCAAAGAAATTGAAATGATGGAAAAAAAGGAATCAATAGTAGTAGAAGACAGTGGATTTAAAGGAACATATATTGATAAATCAATAATAAACACAAAAGAAAATATTAAAAATAAAATAATAACTCCATTTGAAAAAAGTATTAGTAGTAACTCCCTATATAAAAGAAATGTTAAGTCAGATAATTTTTGTGAAGATAAACATGTAAATTACAAAAGAAAATTTATTTTTTTTAAAACTAGAGAAGATAATTTTAACAGAAAAAGTGATACAGAAAAGGAATATGATTATTCAGAAGAAGGGAAAAATAAATCCTTCTTTTATAGATATGCTGTTTATTCTTTTAAAAAGATATTTCAAAATTATGATACTTTACCTCCAAATATTACAAATAAAGATAATATGAACATTAATAAAAAGTATATTTCTGCATTTCTTGTTAATAGCTTTCAAAAACCTTATAAAACTTTTCATAGTGTGAAAGAATTTTTCATAGGAAAAAAAAGAAATATTAACAAAAAGAAGAAGGAAATATTAATTCAAGATATAAAAGCTTTAGAATATATGGTAAAAAAATTATATTTTTTATTAGATGAAGTTATAAAAGAACAAATACGTATAAATCAGAGTACCACCTTTTTTGGTATACTTTTGTATTTATTAGGAATAGTTATGTCTATATTATGTGTATATAAAATTATAAAAACATGTTATATTATATATATGATAGAAATTCATTATAGATTTATTTCCACTTATAGTAATGGTCACGTGTTAATGCTATTTTACGCAAAAAATATGAATATTTCAATTATAAATGAATTGAAAAATGTGCTTCACATAGTTCACATAAACATTAACTTAGATAATTATGTTATTTCAATAACATCTATATTATTATTATGTTTTATTTTTACTAATTTAAAAACATTTATGGAAAAGATAATAAAGCTAAGATATTCTACTAAGTCATCTTTATATTCTAATTTAGCTATCTTGTTAATGTGCGAAATAATGGATTTATATTTTTCTGCTTATTGTATACAATTATTTGACTATTTACCTATTAAAGAGAAGATTAAAATGCTTTACATTTTTTTTAATAATAATTTATTAAATTTATTTAAACTAAAATATCATTTTGATTTTGTTTACGTTATATCTTTGTTTATTTCCCTTATTTTAATTAAATTTCATCATAAGCACAGAATAGAACAATTTAAAGAAATATAAATTTTGTGAATAATATAAAAATAATAATGAAATATGACATTATAAATTTTTTTTTTCTTTTTTTTAGTTATGTTTTAAAATAAATTAATGAAAAAAGATTTTAGATTAAATAAAAATAAAAAGGAGATTATTTTATCAATCCTCATATATGCCATAGAATAAGGCAATGTTTTTAAGAAAATATGTAAAAATAATAAATATTTTTATTTTTTTTAATTTATTAATAATAAAAAAAAAAAAATACATATATACATATATATATATGTATATAAATGAGTTAATTTTTACAATTATTTTTTGTTTTTATTGTCACGCTATTTTTAATTTAGATACATATTTTTTGCTTAATTTTACTTCATCTATCATTTTTTATTTATTCATTTCTTTATATATATATATATTATTGTTTAAATTCATTTATATATACTCAAATATTCTAGTCAATTTATTTTGAAACTATATAATATTTTTGTTAATTTACTAATTTGATGAAAAATATATAACACTAATATACTCAAAGTAACGTGTGCATACTTTTTCATTACTTTTATTTTAATTATAATGATTAATGAACTTAGGTTTTTAAAACTTTTTTTTTGTTAATGTTAATTTTTTTTTTTTTATTACGTTGATAAAAAAATTAATTCTGTAAATTCTGCTGAGTAAATAGTCCATAATTGGATATATGATCATTCCATGTTTTTTTTTGATGCAAAAGTGAGTTAATAATTTCAACTAATGAGTTTATATCAATTCTAATTTGTAGCATCGAATCTCTTTCTCTTAATGTAATGGTTTTATCTTTTATTGTTTGAAAATCAATAGTTACAGCAAATGGTATGCCAATTTCATCTGTTCTAGCATATTTTTTTCCAATAGATACACTCGAATTATCTATTTTTGACGAGATATCATATTCATTTAACAACATTTGAATTTGCTTGATGTAAGGATAAAATGCTTTATTATTTGATATAGATAATATGGAACATTTTATTGGAGCCAATTTATATGGCAATGCTAAATAATTTCTTTCTTCTTTATCATCAGTAAAGGATCTAATTCTAAATGAGTGTTCTAAAATGCAAAAAATAAGTCTTCCTATTCCAAATGAAGGTTCAATAACATTAGGTATAAAATTTTCTTCTTGCACTTTTTTTGTAAATTTCTCAAAAGAGACCATATCTCTAGTTAATTCAAAAGATAAGACATTAGTTGGACCATTACATATCTTTAAAATAAATTTGTTATTTTTATTTAATTCTTCATCAATACTTAACAAATCTTCATTGCTTTTCTCATTCAAAGCTTGGTATATTTTACTTTGATAATTTTTAAATGTATTCCCAATTTTTGCTTTGTTTGGAAAAATTTTGACACACTCTACTTCTATAGGTTCATTGTATTTTTCACATGCATATAAATTAGCACCCGTAGATCCCATGTGATTTTTCAAATCGTAAGCAGATCTATCAGCATGCCCAACAACTTCAATAAAACCAAAAGAAGTTAAAATTTCTGCATCCCAACAATCACTTGCATAATGGGCCATTTCCGTATTTAAATGTTGTCGAAATCTTATTCCATCTTTATTAATTCCACATTTTAGCAAAAATAAATAAGTTCGAGCAAGAAAATAGGCTAAAGCTTCATTACCTATTATTTTTTGTTCAACGGCTTCTTGTAAAGTTAAATTTTTTATAATTAATCCACTAGTTAGTTGATTATCTCTTGGAAATAGAGGTAGCATTAAGTGTTTATATAAATAATATTTTTCATGGAATTTTTTATTTGGATTTACAAAGTATTCAATTTCAGCCATTTGAAATTCTCTAACTCTTAACAAACCGTTTCTAGGAGATATCTCATTTCTAAATCCCAATCCTATTTGTGCTCCAGCAAAAGGCATTTTTCCACCATTATATTCCAATAATTTTCGGAAATTTACAAAAATACCTTGAGCTGTTTCAGGTCTTAAATAAGCTATGCTACTTAAATTCATTTCTTTTTCATTATCATTTTTACTATCATTTGAATTATTTTCTACTTCATCTTTTGGACCAATTTTTGTTTGGAACATTAAGTTGAAAGGAAAAGGATCTGATAAATTATTTTTTAAAGGTGATTTGATGTTATATTTCTTTATAACTTCTTTTATTTCTTCTTGATTCATACCATCTAGTTTTCTTATTATTAATTCAATATTTTCTATTTCTTTATTAATTTTTCCTTTTTCTTGGATCACATTATTCTCTTCATTATCTGCATTTTTTTTTTCTTTTTGATTCAGTAGTTCATCCTGCTTTTGAATACTTTTCTTTAATTCTTCTATTTTATTACTCAAAAATTCGGATAAATATTTATCTGCTCTATAACAATCTTTTGTAATTTCATCTTTCACCATTAAATCTGTAAATCTATCAACGTGACCTGATGTTTTTAAAACATTGTAAGGTGTAACACAAGTACTTGATATTTCTAGCATTTCATCATAATATATAAAATGATGTCTCCACATTTTTTCTAATTCTGATTTTAACAAACATCCAGATGGCCCATAATCAATTAAACCTGAAGTTCCTCCATATATATCAAATGCATTAGTGTAAAAAAACTTTCTTTTTATTAAATTTTCTAATTTAGAGCGATTTTCAATTAATTTTAATGGTTCACTTGGTACTAAATATAAATCTTTTAATTTCTTTTTTTTTTCTTCTAACAATTTTTCATTATTTTCGTATTCTCTTCTTAATTCTTCATCACTTATGCCTCTAATTGATTCATTTCTTTCAATTAAGGTGGATATCTCTTGGTTATATTTTTCTATTAAATTTTCAACTGTTTCTATTTTTTTAATATCCATTTTATTTATTACTTTTGAAAAAAGAGTATAATTCTTTTTTTTTTTTTTATAGGGCTCATTTAAAGAATAATATTCACTTCTTTTTAATTTGCTTAAACTAATAGTGTAACAATTATTTTTTATCTTTTTTAATTTTAAATTACAAATAAAACTATATGTTTTCCTTTGAAAAAACATAGAAAATATTATTATTCTTATAAATTTCATATACTATATTTCTGTTTAAAAAAAAAAAAAAAAAAAAATGAAGTGAAATAAGCAAAAATAAAATTTAGTAAAATAAAAATTCTTAATTCATTAAAACATTTAGGGGACTTAATAATTCTTAATTCATTAAAACATTTAAGGGACTATTTAATTTTTAGGATTACAAAAAAAAAAAAAAAATAAAATAAAATAAAATATCCAAATACTACTCTTTCAACAAAAGAGTTATATATATAGGGATGTATTATATGTAATGCTAATTTTTATAAAAAATAAAAAGAACATAAAACATTCTCTTAATATTTCTGCATTTATAAATTATTTTATTATTGTAAAAAAAATTGTTTTTATATTTAGTTTTATTCTAAATTTTTTTCATGTTCTATTTATTTTGATTCTTACAAAATGTTTAATAAAAATTATATTAATTTTGTTATTTTTTTGTTTTCTATTTAATGCTAATTTTTCCAAAAATCCTTGATTGTGTAAAAAGAAAAAATACTAATAAAATTTAATAAATGTAAAACTAGATTTTTAATATTTGAATTTTTACAAGTATAATTTTTATGCATAGATTTAAATTAACATTTTAAATATTTACCTTTTTATAAATAAAAAAAAAAAAAAAAAAAATAGATTTAAATAACACATATAACTCAAATAATTTATACAGGAAATGAGTTTAGTCAATAAAAAATTTTTCTTTCATATACAAAGGAATTAACATTAGATTTAATAAGACTAGAATTTATAGCCATATAAAAAATTCATATTTTTTATTTTATGTTATATTTTAAGTATAAAAATATATATATTCTTAATTTTTATTAATGCTCTTAAAATATGGATTAGCACTAAATGCTAAAACTATTTTTATTTTTTTTTTTTTATTTCAAATTAAATTATATTATATTAATAAATAAATTTAAAAAAAGAAAAAAATAAAAAATTATAAAAACAAACATATTTTTAAATTAAACTGCTTTTTAAGGCATTCACAAATTTATTTTTTGTAAGTAGATATATATATATATATATTTTAATTAACCATACAATATTATAACATAATCATAACTTCTTCCTTTTGAAGGTTATAAATCAATAATTAAAATATGATGAAGAAATTTCAAATAAATAATTTAAAGTATATTGTATATTTTAATAAATGAAAAAAAAAAGTGCATAATTAAAAAAAATAAAAATATAACAATTAAAATAATTCAAGTGTAACAAAATATTTAATATAGTATAAATCATATTAATGAAAAGTTATATATTTTACAATTTTATTTTAACAAATTTCGAAAAAAAAAAAAAAATAAATAAATGTGCGAATATATATTATTTATTAATAATTAATTTTTTATTATATTAAAATAGTTATTTTTGTAAAAAACTTTTGCGATTTTGTGAGGAAAACATACAATACAAAATATATAAGTTAAAGGATTTTGTAATATATTTAAAGAAAAACAAAAAAGACATAAAATCTATTATTAATTTTAATGTGTTTGTTTATTTAAAAAAGATAATTTAATTATTTATTTTATAATTCATTTATATGCATTTAACAGATCATCTATCTCTAATAAATTATTATAAGAAAATTTTTTAATAACTTTTTCTCCCTTTTCTTCTAAAATTTTTTCTATATTTGTCTTCCCATCTTGAAACCATCCTAATTGATCAGATATTAAGTGAAGATTATCACAAGATGGACATCTAATAATTACAACTCCATTATAATATGCTTGTTTAGAAAACTTTTTTGCACTTTTTTTTTCACATATTTTACATGTAAACATTAAAACTAAGTATTCTTTATTTTTTTTTTCTTCTGCTAATTCACTACTTCCTTCATTTTCTTTTTTTTTATTTTTCTCTTCATTTACCTCTATTAAACTTTCATTTGTGGATTTTTCATTATTATGGCATGTTTTTGTTAAATTAATTTCTTTATCACTTTGATATACAAATGTTTCTCCCTCCTTATTGTTTAATTTTTTCCCCTCTATCTCTATGTTATTAATATTTATTATTTTGTTATTTGATGTTTCTTTAGCATTTTTATTTTCTTTTTCATTTTTTGTAGTAAATTCTTTTTTAAAAAAAATTAGAGAGTTACAACTGTTAATTTTTACAATGTTGTTGTTTGAAAGAACATTTTTTGAATTAAAACAATTATAACGATTTTTTAAAGTTGAATAAAAAATATATTTTTGCTTAAATTTATTTTTTGAAACTGAAATTCCACTTATAAGAGTTTTTTCAAAAATTTTCTTTAATAAATATTCAGTCATTATGTCTTTTTAAATATTCGTAAAAATTTTTAATACTCCATCCCTATAATGAAAAGATTTTAACATACATATATATATGTTTTTTCTTTTTTTTTTTTAAATAATTTTCTAAAATATTCAGAATTTTAATTAAAAAAATTTTATTTTTTTCTATAATTTTAAGATTTTTATGAAAATTTTCTAGTTATACAACAAAATTGGAAGAATGAAAAAATAGGAAATTATATTTATATCTAAAAAAAATAAAAAAAAAAATTAAATGGAGAAAATTTTATATTATATTTAAATATGTGCTAAAATAATAAAAATAAAATCATGAAAACTATAAAGTATTTAACTTATATCTATAAAAAAAAAGAAAAAAAATTTTCTTAATTACAAACGTGTAATTTTTTTTTTTTTTTTTTTTTTTTTTTTTTTTTTTTAAATAAAAAAAAACGTTATTTAATTTACAAAAAAAAAAAAAAAAATTTTTTAAATTTCGATATGCACAGTAAAAATCATTAAAAATTTTAATTTACTAAAAAGTAAAAAAAGTTATAATTTTTTTTTTTTTTATTTATATAAAACTAAATTTTTATTATACTTTTTTTCTCATTAGATTTATCTTTTTTTAAAGTTTTTTTTTTTTTTTTTTTTTTTTAACTTTTTTCTTTTTTTTTTTTGTCTAATTATCCTTTTAATTATGCAAGAACTTAATTTAGAGAACATTAATATTAAAAAGGTTGAAGAAAGCAAAAATGAAGGAAATAAATTATTTAAAAATAAAAAATATAAGGAAGCATTAGATATTTATCTTGATATTATTTCATTTATTTGTTGTAAATTGTGTGATTCATCAAAAGTTAGAGAAGTTGTAAATTATTTTCAAAAAAATTGCGTTAAAGAAACAAATAACTTAAAAGAAGAAAATGAAAGCAAAAATAGTTGTGTTACTGATTTGCATATTATTAAAAATAATTTTGTAAAAGTATGTCATAATATATCCTTGTGCTATTATTTTCTAGAAAATTATGAAAAGTCTACTGAATATTGTTTATATATAAATGAAATAGAAAAAAATCATTTCAAAAGTTATCACACATTAGGCATGTGTTTTGAAAAATTAAAAGATTACAAAAAAAGTTTAAATTATTATGAAAGATGCAAAGTTGTACTTTTAAAAGAAAATTTAAATGAAAATAATAAAAAAGAATTAGAAAAAATTAATGAAAAGCTAAAATCCATACTAAATCTAATGGACAAAGAGAAATACTCTGAAACTACAACTATAGATAACATTAAAAAAATAATTTTAGATGAAAACAGTAAAGAAGAAGAAAAAATAAAAATGCTGCACTGTATTTATAATAAAAAGTTTTACATTCTTCTAAAGGAAAATGTATTTAAATTTTTATTTGATGTTATAAATAAAAGTGATAGTATCCAAATAGAGAAAATGTGTTTGTATGCTATATATAAAATAATTTCAAAAATGGAAATGGAAAGTATAAAGATAGAAAAAAATAAAGATGAAAATTATAAAAACAGAAAAATATGTATTAACAAATTAGATGATTTAAAATTTCAATTTTATTATGACATTGATTTTATAAAAATACTAATATCCTTCAATGAGTCATTTGATGAAAATTGGATAAATAATTATATAAAAAATAAAACCAAAAAATTAGAAAGTTTAAAATTTTCAAAGGATGAATTTATTTATAAATCTACAATAGATACCTTAGTGCACATAATAAATATAATAAAATATATTTATGTGATAAATAATGAAAACATTCTAAAAATAATTAATTTATATTATTTAAATAGTGATAACTATGAAATGTTGAATAATGGGATAAATGCAGTAATATTCTTATGCAAGAAAAAGAAAAATTTAACGCTAAATTCTGATAAAAAAAAAAAGACAATTTTTTTAGAAAAATTAGAAAAAAGCAGTGTAGATATAAAAAATTCCATAGTTGAATTTCATTTCTGTGATTCATATAAATATCCTGTTTGTGTTAATACAGAAATAAAAAAAATAATTCAAAATGCTATTGGGTTGTATGATAACTTTTCTAATGATGTTGAATACTGTTTAATATTGCTACTAACTTTGCTTAATGACAAAAACAGGCCTAATGAAAAAGATACTGAAATGAATGATTTGATATATGAAAGTATTGATTTATATTTTGACATAAAAGAAATATCAATTGAATGGTTCGTATGTGTTAAATGCCTTTTCTTGGTAGATAAAGATATTGTATTAAATTATTTAATAGGAAAAACAGAATATATGTTTCAGATTCTAAATTTTATTAATAATTCAATAGGAAGAAAACCCAAAGGCCATTTATCTCTTTATATAGATGTCTTATTACTATTATTAAATATATCAGAATTACGATTTATGTTAAATAATTATATAGATTTATATATAAATATTCTTAAAACATTAAATTATGATGAAAATTTTTTAAAATTACTAGTTGGCTCTTTTAAATTATACATGCACAATAAAGATTTCAAAGAAGAAATAATAAAAAATATAGATTTATTTTTTTATTCTAAGGAAATGTTAAAAAAATTTCTCTTAATCTACGATAAAGAAATTATGGACAATTATGCAAATCCTAGTGGGGTTATTGAAAATAATTATTTATCTAAAGATAAAAGAGAATGTGTAGATTTAACAAGAATAAGTGAAAGTTTAGATGAACATAATAATTTAGTTTGTCTTGAAAAAAATATAGAAAAAGATTCTTTAACAAAAAGAAAAAATTTAGACAAAAATAGTGTAATAAAAAATGATGAAAATATAAAAAGTAAAAAAAATTGTGAGCTTGTATGTAAAAATAAAAAAAATGATAATACAGGATACGAAAGAATGCTAAAAGATATAATAGAAATGTTATTTTATTTAAGTTTACACATTGAATTTAAAAAACAGCTATTAGAAGAAAAAAATAATTATATTTTATTTGTTTTAATAAGAATAGGAGAACATATTAATAAAAAGAAATTAGATAATACATATAAATATATATATTGTAACACAATAAATAATTTAATTTTAACAAGAGCAGATGAAAAAATGAGAAGAAGAGAAATTAATAAAGCTAATTTATCCAATTTTGATAATGAACAAATAGAAGCATTAGAACAATTCTATGATAAGTTGCCAAATACAGCGAAACCAAAAATTGATCCATTATATGATTATGGAGATAGTGATACAAGTAATAAATTAATTTCTTTATTATTATATAATGAGAAATATCAAAACAATATTAATGAAAAAAGTTGTTCAGATTTACCAAAAATTACATATAAAAATGGAACAATTATTAATACTATTTATAATTTTATTAATAGCAACTTTTTTACAACAAATATTGCTGAATCAGTTTGTGATATCATTTCAAAATTCGTAAGAGATACAAATAATATTGGTATAGTACTTGTTAATAATGGCTTGAAGGCATTATTATTAGCTTCCAAGCATATTAATAATAAAAAAAGTTGTATATATGCATTAAGTGAAATATTTATATATACAAATCCCAAATTAATTCATTTTTATGAAGCATATGATTCTTTGCCTTTATTGATTGATCAAATGCATCAAGAAGAAGAATTTTTAGTATTTAAAACTTTAATGGCTATAACTAATATATTAACTATTGATGAGAATATAGCTGTAAAAGCTATACAATTAAATTTATGGAATAAATGTTTTGATATTTTATCATCAGAGAATGACTGCTTAAGATCGGCTAGCTTAGAATGTATATGTAATTTGTGTGCGCAATCTTATGTTCATCAGTATATTTATGATAAGTATCAAAAACTTGTTAAAGGAAATGAAGAATGTCAAGAAATAAATTTTGTTGACATTCAAATAATTTATTCTTTTACTTTAGAATTTGAAAATTACAAAGCTGTGTTCGCTGCGACAGGAGCTTTAGGTATGCTATCATCCGATTTACGTTTACCATTTTATTTAATTAAAACAAAAGGTTTCAATCATATTTTTTCTTCTTTTCAAAAAACAAATGATCAGAATATTCTTTTACGTATATTAACATTTTTTAATAATATAATATTAAGTGAAAACATCCCTGATGATACAATAAGAAAAGTAAGAGAATATGTTAATAAAAAAGAAGGTTTAAACGAAGAAAATATGCAAATTTCCAATTTAATTCTTCAATAAATATTTTATCATATACATAATTTTATAATTTTATAATATTTTCACCATTAATCCATTTATTTATAAAAATACACTTTTTTTTCATTTACATATTTTTTTTTAGTAAATTTTTTGTTATATATGTATATGTTTTCTTTAATAGACAAAATAAAAAAAAAAATTTTATTACAAATAAATGTAGGCATATATTTTTCATGTAGAAAAATTAAAAATGTCATCACGCAAGCATTTGCTTAACTATCACTTTTGCACATATATTATTTTTCTTTTAGAATAAGTTTTATGTATTCATTTAATTATATGATTTATTTTCATTTTAAAATTCTGTTTCATACTTTTATTTTTTTCATTAAGTTTATATATTTTACCCTCACTAACATATTTACTAAAAAAATATCTAAAAAAAATTAAAATTAAAAATAAAAAACCTTCTTTAAGAATAATATATAGACTTTTTTATATTATTAAAAAATCAAACTTGAAAGTAGTATTTAAAAATTCAATGGAAATTTTTGCATTACATGGAAATGTAAGAGTAATATATATTATTAAGGAAATTTTCCTAGATTAAGTATAAACTATTGATTAAATAAAATATTTTTATCTATAATTAAATTAAAAACTTTTTAAACAAATATTTAAGAACGTACGTATTAAAAATGAAATATACTTTAAATTTATCATGAAAAAAAAAGTGATTTAATTTAATTCATATATATTAACAAATAAGTTTATACTTAATTTGTTTGTTATTTACAATATATGTTCCATTTTCTTTTAGTTATATTCAAAGTTATGTTCCTTTTATAAATGTTTGTACTTAGTGTATATAATTATGTATATACAACTATCAAAATAAAATAAATATGCATGTAAATTAATTAATTATTTTTATTTGTATAAATAATAACTACATACAAAGAATTCATTCATTTTTATATAACCAAAATGTTAATTTTAATAAAACTTTTTATCATATATTTGATGTATTTTGTTGTTGGAACAACATATGTTTTAATACCATAATGTTCTTATTCATAAAAATAATAAATTGTCTATATTTCGAGAAAATATATATATATGTATCTCTTAATTTTTATTTCTAGAAAGTAATCCTCTATTAATAAAAATTTAATATTTTTTTACATATCATTAGTATGATTACGTTCATGTATATATGAGTTCTTTTCTTTTCTTTTCTTTTCTTTTATTTTATTTTTTTTTTTGTTCTTGTTTTATATTTATATTCAATTTTATTGTTTTTATTATTTTATATCATTCTTTCTTTGTATATATATATGAAAAACTGTCCAAAATAAGTTTCAAATAAAAGAAATTTACAATACATATACATTTAAGTAATCTAGTATTAGCGAAAAGTCATTTAGTCTACAATATAATAATTAAAAGATACAATAAAAGTATATTGAAAATTATACGTGATTATTGAGTTGGAAAAATGTATATTTCCTCTTTTTTCTTTAAAAAATTTTTATTATGTATTTTAACATATGCACTAAAAAATGATCTCAACATTTTATTAAGGAATATTTTTCTTAAAAAATTTTTAATAATTATTTAAATTATATATTTAAAAAAAAATACATAAGAAAAATTATAAATGAATTTATCACTTTTTATAGTTACGTTCACTTATCTCATAAATCAAAAGTGCATAACAATTTGGTTATTTCTTTTTGTTGAAAAAGGAAAGTAAATACATAAACATTATGAGTTGTAAAGAATTATAATTATTTATTTTTTATTTAATAAACTTCAGGAATTGGTTGTACGAACAAATTTTAATAAAATTACAATAAATTTTACAGTTATGTAATTATCACTAAAAAAGTCAGTAATATTCTCTAATTTCTCACGTTGTTAAGTATATCTTAAATGTATAAATATATATATATTTATATTTCTTAATTATTGTACATTTTACATGATTTAATAAAAATGGGAAAAAAAAAAAAAAAAAAAAAACTATGAAAAATGAAAGGTTAATTTATAAAAGTGGTTAAAAAGCTAGTTATTCAATATTATTTAAGTTACAGTTATAACCAATTCTATTCTCTAAAAAAAAAAAAAAATTAGTTGTTAATAAAAATTTTAATATGCACATATAAATATATACATATATATATATATATATATTTTTTTTTTTTTTTTTTTTTTGCATAAATGTTCATAATTTTTTTTGGTTAATTAGCTTTTATTAATAAAAATTAGCATTTTTTTTTAGTCTTTATTTTCGTTGTTTTTTTTTATTTTCAGCCTTTTTTATTATTTTTATTTTAATGTGTTAAATATTATTTTGAAGATATAAATATATTTTTTTTCTTTTAATGTATTCATCATATTAATTTAATTATATTTCTTATTTTTTGTGTGCTTATTCTGATTTGAATGATTATTTCTTTCTTTTTTTTTTTATATTCCTCTAAATTTAATAATTGAATACTTGTGCATAAAAAAAGAATTAATTTATCCTATGAAAGAAAACATATATACCAATTTATATTTTTTTTTTTTATGTTCATTTTTGTTTTTATCTTTGTTTCCGTTTTTATTTTTAAATGTCTTAATGTCTTTTTTTTGTTAAGAGTATCTTCTTATTTTTTATTTTTAATTTTCACATATTATAAAAATTTAATATTCTTTTTTTTTTTTAAATAATTTTTAATATAAACGTTATTTTTACACAGTTGTTAATTTACTATTTATATCATATATATTTATTTTAGTACTACATTTAAAATAAATTCCATTATATTATTTCAATATATCAACAACATATAAATAATAATAATTTTATTGCTTGTTTCTTTGTTTTAATATCTCATTTCTTTTACCTTTTCTTTTTTTAGTATATCACAAAAAATATTCCTTAAAATTTATTTTATCTGTATAGTTTATCTTTTTAAATTGCATTTATGACAACGCTACTAAAAATTTCATTTTTAATGTATTTTTATAAATTTATATAGTACTTTATGATAAATTTACGTTTTATTTTGTATTTATCAAGATATATAAAATAAATTTTGATTAGTTTAAATTGTTTTCCAGTAATTATTAATCTTAGATGAATTTTAAAAAAAATACTATAATGTTAAATGAATAAAATACATAAATAGTTTTTAAGAATTCCATCATTTTAAATATAACGAAGCATTGTAATTTGCCTGAAGAAATAATTACTTTTATTTATATTCATTTCCTTTTTTTTTTTTTTTTTTTTTTTTTTTTTTGTAAATATAAATCGTTACAGTGTCTACATTTTTTTATAAAAGCCCCTAGTATATATGTATATTATTAAACAGTTTTCCATAATTAAATGAAAAATTATTATTATATGGTATTTAATTTATGACATTTTCATTATATGAATTTGTTTATTTTTAAAGAAATTTGTATATTTGTTGTTTAATTTATTATATTAAAAAATATTAACTTCATAAAGAGAAAAATCAATAAAATAATAAATTTTTTAATATAATTAAGCATTCATATTTATATTTATGTATGAAATGTTTTCATTTAATAGAGTTTGTATTTGTTAGGTATATTTAGAATTTAAAAATTGTATCATTATTTATTTTAAATGCTAAAGATTTTACGCATACATAAATAAAATAATATATTTTAAACCTGTTTATAACTTCTATTTCTTGATATTTTACCTCAATATTTATCATTTTAATTTTTTTATACTATAAAAAAGTTTATACTTCTAATAGAAAAAAGAAACAAGTAAATTAGAATAGTCTTCCTTTTTAATACAAATAACACTATCATAAAACATTTAGTTAATATTATTATTTTGTTTTATTTATATTTTATTTACTTTTTTTTTTTTTTCTGCATTATTTTATTATTAAATAACATTGTATTGAAAAATTTTAATACGTAATTTAAGTACTAAACTATTTTCTAGGTTTTTTTTTTAAATAACTTATAATAGTAAGTACAAAGTTAGCTTAATAATATTATTAAATAAACAATAATAAAATTAAGAAAAAAAAAAAAAAAAATAAAGCAAAAAAGAATAAATTCAAAAACTTCAGTAAGGCTGGAAATAGCACAAGGATTATTATAACCTAAAGACAACTAAATTTAACATTTTTTTCTTATGATAAAAACTCAAAATCAAATAAAAAGAGAATGAATAATATAAGTAAAAAAATAAATAAAAATACTTCGATACAATACCAAAATGAAAATAATGAAACAAATAATTGTACTTTTTTTGAATTACAAAATAAAAACGAAAGAAAAACTGACATAGAAAATAATGACGAAAATGATTCGTTAGATAATTTGACTTATATTAACAAGTATTTAACATCCATTTTTGATCTAGAAAATGATGATGACTCTTCATCAAATGAAAAAGATTTAAAAAGTATTAACGTAAGTAATGATTTTAGAAAAACTGTTTCTCATTTTCAAACAAAAAATAATAATGTTAATGTTGAATTGGAACTAGATAATACATATGAATATGAAACTCTGGAAAAAGAAAATGAACAAAATTTTATTTCTCAAACTAAAACATTGAGTATGGAAAACAATGATTTTTTATGTAAAGATATAAATTTTAGCAATGAAAATAACTTAAAATTGAAAAAATCCAGAACATATTTAGATGAAACAGAACGGAAATTTTTGGAAAAAGAAAAAACATTAAATCAATTTTATTCGTTTAACAAAAATTGTAACATGAAAAAAAACGAGGAAAACTTCAATTTTCCATTAAATTATAATACAAATTCTACAAATAAAAGGTGTGAAATGGCAGATTCATTTTATGAAGATATTGCAAAAGAAAACAATTTAATTAAGATGGATGATAATATGCTGAAGGATATTTTATTTTCTTTGAATAAGAAAAATGCACAGGAATATAGTGTAAACACAAAAAAAAAGTCAGTAAGTAATGCAAATAATAATGAAATGTATGAAGAAGAAATTATAAAAAATAAAAAAGATGTGTTAAATCATAATATAAATCATCCACTTAAATACAGTAAAGAATTTATTTATAGTTATTTCAGTAATCAATGTAATATGGATAATGAAGAATTAAAAGAGGCATTCAATATTGAAGAGAACGAAGTAACAGATATAAAATCGAATTTATGTAATAACACAAATAACCAATTTCAAGATTCTGTAAATGGAAATGATAAAGAACGTAAGAAAATTGATAATGAAAAAGATTTTAACATTTATGAAAAAAATAGAAATTCATATTCAGATTTTTATTATACAAATGAAAATAGTATTTTAAATGATAATTTTCACAATTCTTATATAAAAAATACAAAAGAAAATAAAGATGGAATTTCTATAATTTTTGGAAATTCAGAAGTGTGCGAAAATAATTCACATTTTTCCAGACAGTTTAAGGATAATTTGAACAGGAAAATGGATTATAATAATTTTTCTCAAATAAGTAATAATTGTGAATGTTTTAATTTAAATAAAAATTATATTTTTACTTTAGATACACATAAAAAAAAAAATCCAATGTGCCATAGCCAGTTAAATCAAAATGAAGTTTTCATATCAAATGAAAGTGGTATGGATTGCTTTAATATGTGCAACACTAACTCTAATGTGAAAAATAATACTCAGAAAAAAAATTCTTCAAATAATGTAGATTTAATGAAAAATCCTTTGAAATATAACTCAAAACTTCAACAAAATAAAAATGAAAGGAAAAAAGAATCTGTCGAAGATAATATGAGCGCTTCAAATTCTGAAATCAGTTTTTCGAAAAATCCTATTTTAAATATGAATAAAATATATTTATATGAATTATATAAGAATTACGTAGAAAATAATTTTAACATAAAAGATAATGATTCAGAAATACATCAGAGCTTATTAACATTTTTAAATAATGAAATTAATAATAATGGAACATACAGTATTAATAATAGTATTACAACAAATTCTAATATAGATGTGACACACTCAGAAAATAAAATATATAATTATAAAAATGATAACAATAGTGATTTATCTTTTCAGAATAAATGCGATGAATTACATAAACATGCGAATGGAAATAACATTGCTAGAAATATTAATGATAGAAATTACATTGGGAATATAAACTTAAACGAAATGTCATCAAATGTTGTATTAGATAAAAATAATTTTAATTTAGATAAAAATAATTTAAAATATTTACTTAATTATAACATAGACTCAAATATAAATAATAAAAATTCTATAAAAGTGAATTCATTTAATGAAACATTTAAGGGAGATGAAAAAAATAAAAGCGTAACGTTTGATACTTTGAAAAATAAGATTAAAAATTTATTAGAATATGAAAAAAACGATGATCTATTAAGTGAATATATTATAGATACATTGAATGATTATAATAAAAGAAAGTATAACACTGATAATAATATATGTAATGACAGTTTTAAAATTAATGAGAAAATAGAACCTTTGAATAAAAGAAAAGCAGATTACTCAGAAAATAGTGATATAATAAATCATAATTCGTATAATTTAAACAGGGAATTGAAAGAAATAGAATGTGATCAAAATATTAATGTACTTCAAAATATGGAAAGTAATGAAACAAATAATTTTGACTATAATTGTATACAAAACAGAAATAAACTACACTATGAAAATACGAATGAAAATGTTCCGAAAGAAACAATTTTGGATAACATTTTACGTGAGAATAAATCGAATATGTGTAATTCATATAAAAGCATTAATATTAATGATTTAAGTTTATTATTAAATAATGACTTGGTAAATAAAAACAGTAATCAGTACACTAATATGAAAAATATTAGAAGCAACGATAAAGAAAATTGTTTAAACCATTGTGATGAATTTAATAAAATGAACGAACTAATAAATTTACCATTTTCCAATTCATTGTTATTAAATTTTGAAAATAATAACCAAAGAAGAAATTTTAGTGCAGATGAGATGATAATTAATGAAAAGGATAACAAATTTAACTCTTATATAGAACGCTTCCAAATGTTAGAAAAAAAAAGTTTTAGAAATAAAAAGACATTAAATTATAATTATAGTCAGGAAAATCCCTTCGCACATAAATTAAAAGATTTAAAAGAAGATGATAATTTAAAAAAAAGTAAGAATTTATTGAGCAAGAAAAGTTTCAATGTAAAAGAAGATAAAAATGAAAATACAAAAAAAGTTCATTATGAAAAAGCAAAAGGTTCTACGTATATAAAAAATAAAAGTAATATTATTGACAAAAATAGCTTAGAAAATAATTTTATAGATAATAAATTTGAAAATAATAATGTTATATCTAATTCAAATTGTGTAAAAAATGGAGAAAAGGAGAGGATATTTGAATATTTACAAAAGCATTTTAATTATAATAAATTCAGTGATGACTATACAAAGGGTAAATACCAAAGCGAAAAACATGATTCTATTCCTAATAAAGATGATTACTATCTAAAAAGTAAAAGTATGTTTAATGACAAATATAAAAATGCATTCGAATTTTATGAAAATGATTATTTAAGGAATGAATATAGTTTGGTAGAAAAAACATATAATGAGGAAGAAAAAAATAATTTTTTGAGTTTTAATAAAGAATCAAAATTCTCTTGCAGGAATCAAAAAAAGTTTGATAAAATATGGAATAGAAATAACTATTTAAAAAAATTTACTAAGACATGCGACAATAATGAAGTAACAATAGGTGATATTAAAGAAAAATTAAAAAGTAAAAATTCTATGCCTAATTTAAAATCAAAAAAGCAAAGTATGGAAATAAAAGCATTAACACTTGAAGAAATGAAATTATTATTAACTGAAGAAGATCAAAAAGATTTAGAAAAATTATTACAATCACTTTATGATGACAGAATATTACCATTATTATTTAATGTAAAGGGTAGAGCAGAAGAACTTCAATATAAAGATACAATAAAAAACAATATTAAGACAGCATATAGTTTATATCCAGAAAAATATCAAATAAAAAAAAATGATTCTGCTGATGATTATATAATATATTTTGCTAATAAAAAGGTACAAGATGATTATTTTCTCTCCATTAATAACTTAAAAGATATCTACGATCCAAGTATTTGGAAGGAATTTGAAAAATATTTAGAAGAAATAGCTAATTCGGAAAATCCAAGTTTATATACTTTTTCGGGAGGAAGATATGGTATGGCTAAAGAGTTGAAAAGGAGAAATCTACCATTTTTTAAAGGATTATACTTGGGTGAATTGTGTCATATTGTTCATATAAGTACCAATAAAAAAATAATAGCATATGAAAATAATTATTTAAAACCAATTTCTCAGTGCCATAAATATACTAATGCTAAAATGGGTATAGTTAATACTAGTGGAACAGATATAGAAAATTATATCACTACTATGGATGAATTAAGACTTTATTTGAATAAATTATTGAAATATTATAAAGGAGGATTTAATATATCTACACTAAAAAAAAAATTAAAAAATAGATTTAACAAGCAAATTTGTGAAAGTGTTTTTCATTGTATAAAATTGATAGAAGTCTTACAATTAGATGAACTAAAGGATGTATGCTCTGTAGATAAGCAATCAAAAATTGTAAAAAGTGCTAAAGATACATTATAACATACAAAAAAATAATAATCTATTAATTTTTATTATAAAGAAAATTATTACATTTTAATTATTAGTACAAGATATATAATGACAAATATATATATATATATATATCTCATTTATATATACACATATTATATGCCAATTTTCTCATAACAGTCATATTATGTTAATATGAAATATTATAATTTACATTTGTATATTTTAAAATTTTCGTAATTTTTATTATATATTATATTTATTTATGAAGATATATATTTATCTAAATATATATATATATATATTTGTATATATATATATATATAAATATTGATCCTTGCACTCTTTTCCTATTCACATATAATTTATATATAGATTTTTTTTTTGTTTTTTGTTTTATACTTTTTTTTTTCGTACAACACTATTAAATTGTAATATTTAATTATAGAAAATATTTTTAACTAAAGAATAAGAAAATTTTCTTTTAAAATTATAGCATCATCGTAATACCATATCGAATTTATAATTCATTTGTTATTCTCTTCTAACTTTTTATTTATTTAGAAAATATATTAAGTTTACAATATATTTATTAGTATTCTAAAAATTTTTTTAGTGTTAACATTTTTATTCTTGCAGTAATATCAAAAACATTTAAATCCTTAAATAAATTATTACCTCTTATTTATAAAAATTCTTAGATATTAAAACTTATTTAATAGAATTTTACTTATTTCATTATATATAAATATGTTTTTCATATATTTAAAATAATTAACATTCCATACTTACAAATATATAATTTTATTCGTTCATTTAAAGTTTGTTCAATATTTTTCTACCTTATTATTTCACATTTTTGTATCTTTTTTATTTTCTTTAATAGAAAAAAAAATACATTACCCACCGAAATTTAAAATAATAATATTAGTACTAAATATATGAAAAAAAAAATAAAATAAAATAAAAAATAATTTAAAATATATTTAAACTTGTTCTATCAATACATCATTAGCATAATTTCTAAAAAAAATAATATGTATTATCATATTCTTTCAATTAATATCAAATCGTAATTATGTTCCTTTTAAGTTTACAATCATTTTTTTTTTTTTTTTTAATTTAAAAATTTATAATAAAATATTTTTTTGTTTTACATTTTTATTTAATTTTTTTTTTTTATTTTTGCTTTTAATATGTTATTTTTATATTTATTATTTTAATATGATCATAGTCAAATTTTTAAAAATAGAAACTTCAAAAAAATATTTACCTTCATAATGTTTACATAGATTTATTAAATATAAATTTTATTTTAAAAATATAGAGCTATAAAAAATGCTAACTTTAAAGAGCGTTTTATTATAAGTATCACATTTTTTTAAATGTATAACAATTTTAAATTATAAAATTAGGATTATGAATTTTTTCATTTTTTTTTAATTATTTAATTGTGTTATATTATTTGAAGTATATTTTTTTTTTAAAAAAAAAGAAAAAAAAGGAGCATAAACTTTCTTAAAGATATATATATAATAGCAATAATTCATTTATGAAAATTATTTAAAAAAATATATAATGTTTGTTCCTCATAAAAACCAGGAAATAAATCACATTTATGAAAGAAATAATGAAGCTACACTTTATATAGGTAGTTTATTATTACATTGTGTATTTTCATTTAGTTTATTTTTTTAATATTTACTTTTTATTAAGATATATAAAAATATAATTTTAATATTTTTTTTTTATACTTTTTACAGCAAATCTAGATTCTCAAGTTGACGAAGAAATTTTATGTGAACTTTTTATGCAATGTGGTAATGTAAAAAATGTTCATATTCCTAGAGATAAAATAAATGGATATCATTCTGGTACATTGTTTATTGTTTTTCTTTTAATTTTATTTTTCTATTTTATAATTATAGATTTTTTTTTTTTTTTTCTATATCTATTTATTTTTTTTTTTTATTTTGAATAGGTTATGGTTTTGTAGAATATGAATATGAATATGAATGTGAGTATGCAGCAAAAATATTAAATATGACTAAATTATTTGGAAAGCCATTAAGATGTAATAAAGCATCTCAAGATAAAAGATCATTTGATGTGGGAGCAAATTTATTTATTGGAAATTTAGATAAAGAGGTAGATGAAAAAATGCTATTTGATATATTTTCTTCTTTTGGACAAGTAATAACAGTAAAAATAATGAGAAATGAAGATGATACATCTAAAGGACATGGGTTTATATCATATGACAATTTTGAATCAAGTGATTTAGCAATAGAAAATATGAATAATCAATTTATATGTAATAAAAAAGTACATATTTCATATGCTTTTAAAAAGGATACAAAAGGAGAAAGACATGGAACAGCTGCTGAAAGATTTATAGCAGCAAATAAAGCTTTAAATATGTATCCAGTAAATGAAAATGCAAATAATATTTTTCCATACAATTCTACATCGGTTGTAAATCCTACAAATAATAATGCATCATTAAATAATTTAAATAATGAAAATAATATATTTTTAAATAATTCAATGATTCAAGCAAATAATATAAATAAATTACCGAATGATCAAATTCCACAAGTTATTAATTCTTATTATCAAACAAATGCACCCCATCCTGTTTCATCCAATTATATTCAACCACCTATAAATTTACCAATAAATACAAGGTCAAATAATACATACAAATTACCACAAAAAATTAATAATAGAATATTAAATAATTTACCACCTCCATGTGTGCCACCAAATTTACCTTCTGATATGTCTTCTAATGTATCTTATAATTTACCTCATAAATTTCCACCAAATTTTCCATCAAATTTTCCTCCAAATATTCCATCGAATTTTCCCCCAAATATACCCCCAGGTTTTCCACCAAATTTTCTATCAAATTTTCCTCCAAATATACCTTCTGAAATTCCTTCTAGTTCATCTTATAGTTTACCTCATAAGTTTCCACCAAATTTTCCTCCTAATCTTCCACCAAATTTTCCTCCCAATCTTCCTCCAAATTTCTCATCTAATTTTCCACCTAATATTCTTCCCAATTTCCCACCCAATTTACCTTCAAGTATGCCACCTAATTTACCTCCAAGTATGCCACCTAATTTACCTCCAAATTTACCACCGAATTTGCCACCGAATTTACCTCCAAATTTGCCACCGAATTTACCTCCAAATTCATCATCCAATTCCCTCCCCAATCAATCACCTAATTTGCAACATAATGGAACTTCTAATGTATCAGAAAAAGTTGAAAATAGTCAAAGTAAAGATAGTGATGTAAATACAAATGATACAGTAAAAGAATAAATAAGCTATTTCATATATAAATCTTTCAAGGTTTTATACATATCAAAATGTTTGCAAAGATGTCTTAATTTATAAAGAAGAATTTATATATTTTATTTGGAATTTATAAATATTAAAAAACTTTTTTTTTTTTTTTTTTTTCTTTATGGAAAAATCATTTTCTTATAAAGTAAAATTTTTATTTTTTCATCTTTTATTATTGCAATATATAAAAATTTTTTTAATAAATTTAACTCTTAAAATAAAATAAGTATTTAAATTATTGTATAAAATAGCATAATGATTATCCTTAGTTATCTAATTAAAACTATATTAAAAGAAAAATTGTAATGAATTCCCTTAAAACAATAGCACATTTTGTTTAACTCGTGGTTTACCACATTCTTATAAGAAATTAAAAATATAATATCTTTATTTTTCATTACATACACACATATATTTATACAATTATGAGTTATATTATTTCCTTTCATTAACTTTTATATCTCTCATTAAAATTGTATATCCTTATTTTAAAATATACAAAAGTAAATCATATTCAATTTAAATTAACATAATAAATATGGTTTATCTTAAAATATTTAAAAAAATCTTAATCCATATTATATTTAATGATATACTTAACGACATATTTTTTTTCGTTTTCATAATAGATATAAGTAAAATCAAATATAAAAATATTTCCTTCAAAATAAAAGAGTGATTGATAAAAAAAAATTATAAATTATGGATTTTTTACAAAAGTGAAGAATAATTCCAATAAAAAACTAAAAGAGAGGTTTAAGTGTATGCACAATCTTTTACTGAAATGCTATTGTTATAAAAACAAAAAAAATAAAATTTATTCAAAGATGGTAAAAGAAAAAAAAAAAAAAAAATAAAGCACGCACAAAACATAAAAAAATAAATTTTTCATATAAATATTTTTGTAATATTAAAGATTATTAAGAACTAAAGAAAAAGTTTCTTTTATATATAAATTAACATGATTTTTGTATATATATATATAATTATTTAAATATGTAAAATATATAATGGTTTGAAAATATAAGTTATAAATATGAAGGAATGAATAAAATTAATACATTAGTTTAGAATTAGGAATATTATAAATCTATTTTTATGCTAAAATGCTTTTAATGGAATATATACATGGGAATTATATGTAATTATATATTGTATTGATATAATTTAAGTAAAAAAAAAAAAAAAAAAAAAGTTTATAATTAGTTTAATATATCTATGCAATATTCTACAGTTTATATGAAAAAGTTAAAAAATGGTAGTCCGTAAGAAATGCAATAAAAAAAAAAAAAAAAATATATATGAATTATACCTAAATATGTGTGAAGAGAAAAATAAAAAATTAGGGGAAAAAAATGGAGATGATATAATAGACCTAGAAAAGGAAGTAAAAATTAGATTAGAAGAGCAAACTAGTCTATTATCAATTAAAGGAATTGATAGAGTTGATATAAAACAGAAAAAAGGAAAACATTCCATTATATGTATTCATTACATTAAAAATATGTGCATGAAAAATTTATTTTGTAACTATTTACATCAGCTAATTTACTCAAGAATACCTACATGTAAAAATTACTTAAAATATAACTACTGTGCTGATAAAGTAAGAGGATCATGCATGTTTCGGCATACTTTAGAAAATACTAATGTTAGTCATTACAATGAAAATAAAGATGAATATTTAGATGAAACTTTAAAATTTCTACATGAAAAAAATATTTGTGTAAATTATCTATTAGGTTTTTGTGCATTGGGATATAATTGCAGAAAGATTCATAAAAATAGAAGTAGAAAATATATAAATATTATAAGTATATTACCCAAATTTTATTTAGATCACATTTTAATTAATAAACGATTGTATACACATTTATACAATAATCAAAAAAAATTTTTAAATGATTTGAATAAATTAAAAGATGCTTTAATAATATTAAGTGGAGAGAAATATTATGATAAGATGAATTTATCAAAAAATGAAAACGAAAATTCTTTAAAAGAAGGGTTTAAAGGTAGTAATAACAATAACAATATTAACAGTAGTAATCATAATATTAATAATAACAATACTAAAGGTAATATTAATATCAATGATAATAATAATTATAATAATGTTAACATTGATACCAGTATTTATAACAATAGTAATAATAATGATAATATTTATAACAATAGTGGTATTATTGATACCGCTGATGATAACATTGATAATACAAATAATTATAATAGTAACAATCAAAATATTTTTATGAAGAACAATAAAAATAACTTAAATGATATTATTAAAAATAATCAGAAAATAATAGGTTATAATAATAGCAATGAAATAATTAATAATGCTACCAATGATAATGTAGATAAATATTTAAATGAATGTAATAAAAGCAATAATGAACATACTAAAAACCTGGGGAAATATAATAATTACAATAATCATAGTAATGAAAAAATATATCGTAATAAAATAAATAATTATTACAATAATGAAAATATAGTAACTAGCGATAGTATGAATATACCTAATGTATATGATTTAAATAATAATTTAATACAAAATGATAAAATAAAAGTTTTTATTATTAAATGTAATCAAATATCTCATTTATATTTATCTATATTATATGGAGTTTGGGCTACTGGGAAAAATAATACCAGAAAATTTGTTAATTTGTTTAAAGAAAATTACACTATTATTTTTTTATTTTCAGTAAATGAAAGTGGAGGTTTTCAAGGGTATGCAAAAATGATAACTTTACCCATAAAAAATTTATATGATAATTTGTGGGGATCAATAACTAAGAGATTAGGAGGAAATTTTCGTGTGCAATGGATAAAAACAGCTAAAATTGATTTTGATGTGTTTAAAAATATGGTAAATTCATATAATGATAATTTACCTTTAAAAAAAAGTAGAGATGGCACTGAGTTACCTTTAAATTTGGCCACTATTATTTGTAATAAATTGAATTCTTTGCCAAATGAAGATTTTTTAGCTGGGACAATTTATGAATATAAAAGGAGAATTAACCACTCTACTTTTTTTACAAATTTGCATAAACAAAATTTATTAAATACAACAACTATGTGGGATATGTTAATTTTTAATTTAAATCAAAAATCAGATTGTCAACAAATTACATTTATTGATGGAACAGAACAAAATATTAAATAAGCCAAAGAAAAAAAAAAAAAAAAATATGAAAAGTTAAACATGTATGCATGGAAAAAAAAAAAAAAAAAAAATTTTAAATATATTCTTAGCATATATAAAGAAACCATAAAAAAAAAAATGTAAATTAAAGAAATATAAAATTTTAATGAAGATACAAAAAAAAAAGTGTCGATAAACAATATCTTAATAGTGAAATTCTAATAAATTAAAAAAAAAAAAAAAAAAAAAAAAAAAAAAAAAAAAAATTTTTTTTTTTTTAAAAAAAAAAAAAAAAAAAAAAAAAAAAAAAAAAAAAAAAAAAAAAAATATTTTATGTTTATGACCATTAAAAAAATATGTTTCTTCAAATATTTTTTTAATGGTTACACCTTTTTAATAAAAAAAAATAATAGTAGTTATTAAGATAATTAACAAATATTAAGCATAAATAAAAAAAAAAAAAAAGAAAATTATTTTTATGTACCTTCATTTAAAAATAAAAAAAAAAAAAAAAAAGAGAATTTTTATTATTAAAGGAAGGATTGACGTATTATAGCATGCTAAAATACATATGAGAAAGAAAGTACTGCAATTATTTCTAATTTTAAATAGGTATTTTCCTTATTTGTAAAATACACGTTGTGCGTTTTTTTTTTTTTTTTCTATGTAATATATTATTTTTTTTTTTTTTACCTATTTTATTAACCAAAATAGTAAATATGTATAGATTTAGATATTTTCATTTTTTTTTATTTTTTGTTTTTTTCATTTTCTCAATAAATGAATCAAGGAGTTTCAGTTTTTTTCATAATTTCGAAAATCTAAATAATCCAATATATTTTAAAAAGAAACCAAATATGGTTTATGATTTGATTGTTATTGGTGGAGGAAGTGGAGGAATGGCAGCAGCTAGAAGAGCAGCTAAGTAATATATACAAATTATTTATGTTTGTATTTTACTGAAATTATATATGTATATATTTATATATGTTTTTAATATATATCAATTTTGTAAATACAGGCATAAAGCAAAAGTTGCTCTGGTAGAAATGTCTCATTTGGGTGGTACTTGCGTAAATGTAGGGTGTGTTCCGAAAAAGGTAGCAACAGAAAAAAAAAAAAAAAGGAAAAAAAAATATAATTATATTTTGAATATATATATATATATTACTCCATTTTAATAATCATAAATATATTTATTTTTTTTTTTTTTTTTTTTTTTCATTGTTTCAGATAATGTTCAATGCAGCTTCTGTTCATGAAATTTTAGAAAACTCAAAACATTATGGTTTTGATACAAAATTTACTTTTAATCTTTCACAGTTAGTAGAGAGAAGAGACAAATATATACGAAGATTGAATAATATATATAGGAATAATTTGAAGAATGATAATGTAGAATTATATGAAGGAACAGCTAGTTTAATAAATGAAAATAAAGTATTAATAAAAATAAAAAATTCAGGAAATGAAACAAATAAGGAAGAAATCATTGCAGGTAAAAATATAATTATAGCTGTTGGTAATAAACCAGTATTCCCACATATTAAAGGAATAGAAAATACAATTTCAAGTGATGATTTTTTTAAAATAAAGGAAGCTAAAAAAATAGGTATTGTAGGAAGTGGATATATAGCAGTTGAATTAATAAATGTTATAAAGAGGTTAGAAATAGAATCATTTATATTCGCTAGAGGAGAAAGACTTCTTAGAAAATTTGATGAAACTGTTATTAGGGAATTAGAGAATGATATGAAAAAAAATGATATAAATATTATTACTGATGCAGATGTGGTAGAAATAAAAAAAATTAGTGAAAAAAATTTAACAATTCATTTAAAGGATGGAAGAACGTTTGAAAATTTTGACCATGTAATTTATTGTATTGGTAGATCACCAAATACACAGAATTTAAATTTAGAGAAATTAAATATTGAAATGAAAAATGATTATATAATTGTTGATGATAATCAAAGAACTAATGTAAAAAATATTTATGCAGTTGGTGATTGCTGTATTGTAAAAGTAAAGGAAAACAAGGAAGATGTTAATATGTTAGAACTCTATAATGAAGGACAATATTTAAAAGCATCTGTTGATAATGAAGAAAGATTTTTTAATGTTCAGTTAACACCAGTTGCTATTAATGCAGGAAGGTTACTTGTAGATAGAATATTTTTAAATAGAACTAAAAAAACAAATTATAAACTTATACCAACAGTTATATTCTCACATCCACCTATAGGAACAATTGGTCTTTCAGAAAAGGAAGCAATAAGTTTATACGGAAAGGAAAATGTTAAAGTTTATGAGTCAAAATTTACTAATTTATTTTTTTCTGTTTATGATATGGAACCAGAACAAAAACAAAAAACTTATATTAAGTTAATATGCATTGGGAAGAAAGAAATAATTAAAGGTTTACATATAATAGGATTGAATGCAGATGAAATTATTCAGGGTTTTGCAGTTGCTTTAAAAATGAACGCAACAAAAAAAGATTTTGATGAAACTATACCAATACATCCAACTGCAGCAGAGGAGTTTTTAACATTACAACCATGGATGAAATAAGTTTTATTTTTATAAAATAAATTAATTATTTTACCTTATAATTAAATAATTCCCTTTATAACATGTATATTTTTATAAATAAAAGAAAAAATGTATTTAAAAAAGTTCATCAAAATTATAATCATTCATTTAAACTGAAAATAAAAACTTAATTTCTTCATAATATGGTGCACCTAATTTATGCATTTAAAAAAATACACATAAAAATTTAATGGAAATATATATGTTTTTATATTTTTATTCATAAATAGTATATTATGCTTTATGTTTTATACAATATTTATGAAATTTTACATCTTTAATTTGAAATTTTTTTTTTTTAATAACATAATATTTTAACATTATAAACTTTTAATATATTATTTAAATTATTTCCTTAAAAAAAAAAAAAAAAAATTAGAAAAAAAAATTGTAATATTTATAAATAGGAAATTTTAATTTCTTAAAGAATTAATTTTTCTAATGTTTTTAAGTTAAAAATTATTTGTTATTTTAATAATAAAGGAAAAAAAAAAAAAAAGATAAATAACATATATACATATATATATATATATATATTTTATTAAATTAATATCTAAAATATATTATTCGGTGTAAAAGTTTCTACCATTAATTAATGTTATTCTTATGATTTTCCTTCCTTCTTTTCCTTTTTTAAGTATTTTTAATTTCAATAATCACAGTTTTTAAATATTTATGGTTTTGCATTTTTATAATATAAATATGATTTAGCTATAGCATGACTACATAAATTATTAATATTATCGTTTAGCATATTATTACTCATTGTTAAAACATATGGAAATAATAAAGATGGCTGAGGGATATTTTTAAATATATTTTGGATATTTATGTCTTCTTCATTTGTATCTAAATTATCATGCACTATTTTGTTTTTCTCTTTTTCTAATTTTTTCTTTTCTTGATATACTTTTTGAGATTGCAATTGTTTAAATACATCCTTCTTATACTTAACAATTTTTTCTTGTTCTGATTTTAATAATTCAAGAGATTTACAAGTCTCTTGGACATGATTTTCTAACGAATCAACCTCCAAAGAATTTAGGTAGTCTTTCGATGATATATAATTTTTATTTTTATTTTTGAGAATTTTTAAAAATAACGAATTTATAATGGAATTTTTTATACGAACTGGTATTTTTTGTAAAATATTTTTACTACTTAATCCGTTTTTTTTCAATTCAACATTTAATATGTCACTAAATTGATTAAAATTGGAATTTTTAATTTGTTTTCTAATATCAAAAATAACGTCTACATCTACTTTATATGCTGAAAATATTAATTTACCATACTTTTCTCCAAAACATAATACAAATGCATTCTTATTAATTAATGAATATAATATTAAGGTTGCTAACACTTCTTTTTTTTTTATATCATTAACATTTATATAGAATCCAAAAGATGTTGTTTCAAAATTTAATTCTGCCATTATATTTACATAATCATCGTAATAGTTATTAACTTCATTAATATATTTCTCACCTTCTTCTTCATATTTATTTTTATTGAAATATAAAATTAAATTATTTAATAAATCATTATATTTCTGTTTAGGAAGCTGATACTTACTTGATATTTTATTTATTTTATCAATACAAATATCTTCAATATTACAAACGCAAAAAGATTGATTAATTTCTACAACATCTAATTTTTTTGCATCATTCTTTTTATTTTTTTTTTGCTCATTATTACTATCTTTTTTTTTTTTTTTTCTGTCATCATTTTCATCTTGCTCTTCTTCTTGCTCATCTTCTTCCTCATCTCCTTCTTCATCTACTTCTTCATCTTCTTCTAACTCTTTTTCTTTGTTATCACCATCACTTATCTTTACTTTTTTTTTTTTTTTTTTTTTACTTTTTCCATCATCATTTTTAATATAATAACCTAATAATTCACCACGTAAATCTCTATTTTTTAAAATTTGACTAACAACAACACTATTTAAAACAATTTCAAAATCATCTCCTTCGGTAGAGCTATCACTATCAGTTTCAGTTTTTTCTATTTTCAATTCTTCTTTTTGCTTCTCTTGTTCGCTAACTTTTAATGCTTCCTCTTTTTCTTTTATTTCATCTGGAACTCTTAAAGGAGGAGGAACATATTTCATTTTTACATATATTTTATAAAATTAACTGTATTTTTTTTTTTTTTTTTTTTTTTTTATAAAAGCAAAAAATAAAATTAAATAAAGTATAGAACTTTTTAAATACTATGAAAAATATGAAAAAAATTAAATTTTAATATAATTTCTAAAAAAATTTTAAAAATACTACTTAAAATTAAAAAATATTATTATATAAAAAAATATATTCTTACACCAGTATATATATTTTTAATAAAACTTTCTGATTAATTTATTATCAAAATTTTTTTTTTTTAATATTCATATATATATTTATTGTATTTATATTTTTTTCCTTTGTTTTAAATTTAAATAGAACACAATTTATTTAATAAATGGAAATTCTAATTAAAAATGAATTTTAATTTTTTGCATAAAATATTTTAAATTTATGAATATTATAAATATATATATATATGTATATGCATATAAATATATATATAAACATAAGTAAATATTTTTTAATAAAAAACTAATAAAAAAAAATTATGAAATTATAATTATCGTAGAAATTAAAAAAAAAAAAAAAACAAAAAGTAAAAATAAAATGAAATAAAAATTTAAGAATAAATTATATTGGGAAGGAGTGTAATTAAAAATATTAAAATTTATTACATATGTAAGTGTTTTTTTTTCTTTTTATTTTTCTTTTCCTTTTTTTTTTTTTTTTTTTATTTTTTATCCTTTCCTTCTTTTAAATTTCTAATGCATGTTCTTTTTAATGATGAATTTTTTTTTTTTTTTTTTTTTTTACAAAAATGTTCATATAAAATTGAGGTTTCTACATTTTGTTTAATTATTGTTTTCATTTTATTATATATTATTAATAAAATTAAAAAATGTTGTAATTGAAAGATAGATGAAATATTGTAATCCATTTAGAATGTATATTTAGATTTATTTTTTTGTGATCTTTTTTTTTTTTTTTACTATTTATTATTATTATTTTTTTTGTTCTAAAAAACTGTTATAAAGTTGAATAGCTTTGTGTTATAAAAATATATTACTTATGGATCCCTTTCATGGTAATCAAAAATTGAATTTAAAAAATCATGTGTGTTTTTATATTTTTTTTTTTTTTTATAAGATAAATAAACCTAATAATTAAATGTGTATATAAAATAAACATTTGTTTTATCTTTTTATATAAGAATTTGCATATTTATTTTTTTTTTTTTTTAATATATAAATGTCTTCTTATCTTATTAAATTATATTACTATTATATTAGAATCTAACGAGGGTTATTCAAAAAAAATAAATGAAGAAGATGATTCTATACTAGAAAGGTATTATAAAAAAAAAAAAAAAAAAAAAAAAAATTATTTTACATTATTTTTTTGTAGTTTGAAATTTTATGTAATTTGTTTTTTATATATATTTTGAAAATTTAGTGATGAAGAAAAGAGTATTGAAGTTTTAACAAAAAAAGTGAGAGATTTAGAATTACAGCTTGAATATGAAATAAATCACAACGATGTTGAAATATCAGAAAGGTAAAAATAATTATAAAAGAAAAAGAAAATAATAAAAGTAAATAAAAATAATCAATAAAAACATTTTTTTTTTTTTTTTTTTTTTTTTGTATATGTAATTTCACAAAAACAATATAGAGATGAAACAATTAAAAAGTTAGAAGAAAGAATTAATGAATTGGAGAATTCTAAAAGTACGGAAGAAAAGGATATGGCTATTTTAAATATGAGTGAGAAGTTACTAATATTATCAAACAAATATGATATTCTTGTAAAAGAATCTAAATTACAAGAAGAAGAGTTAAAACATTTAAAGAATAAAAAAAAGTATAGAAATGATAAGACCAATGAATTTATTATGACTTTAAAAAAACAAAATGAAGAATTTAAAAAAGATTATGATATACTAAGTGGAAAATATTCCCAATTATTAAAGGATTATGATGAATTAAAAAATATACATAAATCTTTACAAGAACAATTTGATGAAAATAAAAAGAAAATGGAAATTATTAGAAAAGAGAAAATAAATGAAGTAAAACATATAGAAAATATTTTATATAATTATATATTAGAAAAAATAAAAAAAAAAATAGAGAATCACAATTTTTAATTGTTAATATTGTATTTTTATATTTTTCTTATTTTTTTTTTTTATAATAGGATTTTGATGAAAACAGCGCACTTAAGATATTAAACATAGGAAATGTTAGAAAATTTATATTTTTCATTTTTATTTATATTTATATATAAAATCTATTATTATTTTTATTTTATATATCATTATTAAGTATATTATTATTTAATATTAATTTCATTTAATTATCTTTACAATTATACCCGTATGTTTTTATGAAATTTTTTTTTTTTTTGTGATTCAGGATTTGTTATACAAAAGGAATGTGCATAAAAGTAATTTATGATTATTATTCTTTTTAATCTTTGTAATATATATATTTAAAATATGTTTTTATATTTTTTGTAGATATGGATGAATTGAGTACGTTGAAATTAGAATTAGAATATAAAGAAATGATAATACAAAAATTAATAAAAAAAAATTTAACAGAAGGAAAAATAAATAAACAAGAAACTAATTATAGCGATCTAATAAGAAACAGTGAAGTAATACAAAAAGTATAAATAAATATTTTATTATATATTTTTTATATAATCCTTTTTTTTTTTATTTATTATTTCTATTTAGAAAAAAATAGATGAATTATATAAAAAATATTTAGATGCCCAAAGTGATAACGATCAATTAAAAGTAAAAAAAGTTAAAATGAACAATAATATGAATTTATAAAATAAAAAATATACTTTTTTTTTTTTTTATTAGAAACAAATTAATAATTTAAATAATGATATAAAACATTTAAAAGAAGAAAATAATAATTTATTGGAAACTACAGTAAGAAATATTATTATTTCTATTTTAATAGTTTTTTATAATTCTATATGTGTTTGCTTAATTTTTCATAAATTTTTTTTTTTTTTTTATAATTTTATTATATATTATCTAATCTTTTTTTTTTTTTTTTTTTAATAAGATGAAGCTAAGAGAAGCAAAAAAAGAAGGATCTAAAAATGAATTACATATTAATCAGTAATTATTTCAAATAAAGATATATATATGTAAAATAAAATAATTTTTATTTTTATTATGAACTTTTAACTATTTTTTGATTATTTTAATTAAAGGTTTGATGATATACTTAATAATCTTTTAAAAGAAAACTCTAATTTAAATCAAGAAATTTCAAAACAAAAGAAAAAGTAAAATTTGATAAAAAAAAAAAAAAAAATTAAAAAAAATTTAAATTAAAAATATAATATATATATATATATATATATTTTTTTTTTTTACCTTTAGACATATGGCAGATACTTATTATTATAACAAAGAGTTACAAATGATAAAGAATGACAAGTTTAAAATAATTGAAAAATTTGACAATAGGAAAATAAAAAATATCCCTCATTTATTTCAACCAATAAATATGACATTAAATATGAAGGATGAAAAAAGTGACAGTTCAGAAAACAATAAAAATTTTAAAAATAATCATACTTATATAAATGATTCTAATTTAATGAATTCAAGATGTAAATTAAATAAACCTATAATTACAGATGACTTAGTACATATTTATATTCAAGATTATATGGAAAAAGCACAAAACAAGAAATAAAATTTTTTTTTTTTTTTTTTTACAAGTTAAATTCAATTATATATTTTTTTAAAAAATGAACCAATAATATATGCAATTCTGAATTTTAACAGAAGTATGAAAAGAGGAAAATTTTAAAAAAATTAAATTAAATTTTCTTCATTTAATAATTAATTAAAATTAAAATAATAAGTGCGTTTTTTTTTTTTTTTTTTTTTTTTTTTTTTACTTT